TCATAACTATAATTCGATACTCTAACTCCATGAGATAACCATTTTTAGTTCCCACATATGACTGACCCCCTTCCACAAAGAAATGATAAATGTTCGAGGTGGTGGATATTCTAAATATCTTGACTTGATCATTATACATTCTGTGTAGATATTCAAATATCACATGTACCTCATGAATATTTACAGTGTATCAATAAGAAAACAAGTCATAAAAAGAAACCACAGCTGTAGAGAAAAAAAAATCACAGGAGTGGTTTTTTGGTTAGGATGGAGAAACAGAAATACCTGCGCTCCTACTAAATATCTGGCTAGAGAGTAATAAGAGATAAAATTATGAAGAAGCATTATACTTCATATATTATCAATGTATTTATGAAGAAGAAACTCATGTGAGATAATTACAAGTATAGGTGAAGGTGCAATTGTTACTCTCTGTAAAAAAGAGAGATGCAGGGACAGTCTAGGAAATAGTAGTTTCATTTTCTAGGACCTCATATCTGTGCTACATTCAATGGGAAAGAAAAGATATAGTTCCCGTCCTTGAGCTCACTGGAAAAACTGACTGGGATCAAGCTATTGCATAAGAGTATGGACTCCTTTCTCCATGGTAATGAAATTGGGAGTTGAAGAACAGGAACATGATTAAAATTTTTAATATTTTTTTAATGAAACAGATGATTTCTTTTTTTCTATTATTTCTCATATTGCTAACAATTTTGTATTAAGCTTCCATGAACCTATGACAAAATTGATAGTTCTTGTTCTGATTCTTTAATTTGCTCTGTGTTCATTATATAGTGTATTATTTAAAATCAGACAGGGAGAGTGAGAGTAAGAAAGTGAGAGAGAGAGAGAAAATGAAAGGGAGAATAAGAATGAGTGAGTCATGGGATATTTTAAATGAGAGAAAAGGTTTTATGATACTAAATTAAAATAAATGTTAAATAAGTTGCAAAAATAGTATAGTTATATTTAAAGGCAAAGAATTAGGCAGAAAATTTAGAAGATGGTACCACAGAGATGGACCACCCCACCCCCCACTGTGGAGGTAGATAAGCATGGTACTGAGATGGAAGGGCTGGGACCTGTCTGTGTTGGCTGTAGGTAAATTTGTTTGTACAGGGGGCTGCGTTGAGGCAGCTTGAAGTGCAAACTCAACATTGGTCTGAGTCTGAGGTGTCCCATTTGATACTGGGGCCTGGAACTGGCCCCGCTTCCTGTTTCCTTGGCTCTGTGGCAAGGGATTTCCATCTATATCATACTCAGAACAGCAAGTACTTTCCCAAAGTTTACCTTTATGACAATGCGGGCAAACAGTAGCAGGAGCATTTGGCTGTGTTTTTGAGCCAGCTTGTCCGCTTTTAAGTTTTTAACACTGCAATTTTTTTGAGTATGACCAAGTTGACTGCAATTATAGCAGGCTCCAAGAAAAGAATCAGTCGAGTCAGTCTGATTGCCGTCCTTCATGGCCTGTGCCACATAATCGCTTTGTGGGTCTCTGATCCAATGCCTTCACAAGCTTTAATATATGTAGGCAACACCTCATGATCAGGTACATTTTGTTGTTGGATGGAACGCATGGCTGTTTTACACTCATGGTTCGCATTCTCAAAAGCTAACATATGAAGGAGAATACCCTGAGCACGCTCATCAGAGACAGATTTTTGAACAGCATCTTGTAACTTAGCCACAAAATCAGAATACAATTCATTGTGACCCTGCTTAACAGTAGCAAAAGACACAGGAGCTTGGCCTGGGGTGCCTAATTTATCCCAAGCTCTTATACACACCTTTGTCACTTGTTCTGTGGTAAGAGCATCAAAACCCAATTGGGTGGTAGTATCAGAGTAATTATCGGAGCCTGTGAGCTGAGCCTGAGTAATTAGAATGCCATCAGTCCGATTTAGCTGAACCTGCAGACAGGCCTCCTCTGACCACCAGGTACGGAACTGTAAATGCTGAGATGGAGTTAGAACAGCTTTGCCAAAAGGTCCCAGTCTAAAGGAAGCACAATGACCTCAGTACAAAGAGTCTGTAATACCATCTTAACATACGGAGAAATAGGACCATACTGAGTACAAGCATCCTTGAATTCTTTTAAAAAGGTAAGATTGAGCGGCGCATATCGAAGCCCTTGTACCCCTTGAGCATTAGGAGGTTCCAGTGGAACTGGATAAGCCCATGCCTCTAATCTATGTGTTTGTTTGTTGTGGCATAATAAGCATTGTATGAAAGATTCAAGAACAGGCACATGAAACAGAGTCGGCATAGAAGTGACAGGAAAAGTATGTGTAGATAAGGGAAACTGAGGTTGAGGGGGTTGGACCGACCGGTATGAGAGTGTGAGAAAGGGTCATTGGGGGAGCAGAAGAGGCAGAAGCATACTAGTGATTATTGATATATGAAAAAGGAAATTTTGATTTGCTAGGAAAATTATCTTTCTTAATTTTGCAATATTACAAGGTATAAACATCTTTATTAATTTGTTGATTAGATCTAGTTTTTATACCATGTGCTGTTCTGGAAAAGAGAATAATTTTTGGAGAGTCTAAGTTCTTAAGTCATTATTCTTGGCTTCTAATATATCAGTACTTGAAATGTGGACTGTAGACTGGCAGCATAGATATCAGCAGATGCTTGTTAGAAATGGAGAGCCTCAGGCCTCACCCAGACCAACTGAAATCAGAATTCTTTCTCTAACAAGATCCCCAGGTGACACTTCAAAGTTTGAGAACACTGTGTTAATATCAGAATAATTGTGAAACTTCTATATGCATTATATGGGTTCATAGTCATATTTATTTACATTTCCCCCTTTTTAGGATTTTATGTATTACTTCACTAACCCTGAGAAATATAGAGTCTTCACTAATATACCAATATAACACTTCTATGTTTGTAGTCATATGTTTCATGATCTATTTGACCATTATTTTGAAGTATTATCAGAAAATTAGCATTTTCCCCAGCCAAATACTCCAAAGGAAGTATAATTCTATAAGTTTTAGAGTCTAAATTTTTACTTATTGCACCGTTGTTAACGTATTACAGAGAACTACCTGTGTTCTCTGTATAAAGTAGAACTTTATGAACAGATTTCCAAGTCTTTAAGGACACATATTTTAGACAAATTACATAGGAATACACTAAAAGTAATATTTGAATGATTAATATATATTCCTTTAGATACTAGAAAAAACAGTAATAAATACTCTGCACATTAAAATAAGTTCTATCAATACAAGTAGCCTATTACTCTTAAATAATATGCAAATCCTTGATATACACAAATGGTTCAATGTCCATTAGGGAATAAATGACTATATTTAACATACATTAACATTTGGCAACATTTCTATCTTAATAAAACCCAATTAAAGAAATTTTAATATGATTAAATGACTATGAAAACATTAAAATATACATTTATCAGTTAAATATTGAGCCATCTATTTATGAATAATTTACCTATTTAAAACAGTGATTAAATCAAGGTGTATACATTTTCTCCACATTATACTTTTCCAAATTTCTGTCTCTTTAATACAATTGCTTTCTGGATGATATTTCCTACTGCTAAAACTTAATGCAAGTATTTGACAATGTTTTGCTCTTTGGATCTAATGTTTTGGCACCAAGAGAAGTCCAGATGTACATGTGGAAAACTGCACATTCAAAAGATGAGTTTTAATGAGTAATCAATATAAGGTTAAATTTACTAAAATACTTTCCTGTGCTCATTGGATTTACTGTCAAAATCATATGTTGGGAGAAGGTAGCAGCAGTGACTGAGTGTGTTAATAAGTTCAAATAAAAAAGGAAAAGGGAATATCCATGAACTTAGTGCAACAAAATGTATGTAATTTCATATAAATATTTATTTTTATTATGTATTATTATTATAAAATAATAATTATAAAAATGTTATTGAAATATTTTAATATATTTTATTAAAATAATAAAATATTTTTTTCCCACAATAAAGAAAATCATTAGTCTTAAAAGACATCCACTGTTAACATTGCACAATAAACAACTGGATTTACTAATAAGAATGTCATCAAATTTATCAAACTTCCCAAAAGATAATTTCAAGCACATTCATGATGGAACAATGACAATGACAATGAAAATTTCAAAAGAAATATGTTTTTACTTCCATGAGATGGTTTTTAATCTTTAGATACTTGTAGAAATGCAAAGGAGATATATAAATAGGAATCTACTGTATTAAACATTTCAGTGTTTAATACTTTACTGTTTAGAATAACTATGCAATATCAGCAGAGAAATACTTATTTTCTTAAAGCTGTATTATCTGCTCAAGGCTGGTCTGTAGGAATTTCAGGCAAATAGTTATTTTGGTAAACTAAAAGATGATGTTTTTTATTAAATAAGTATTTGAAGTTGATATACATGAGAACAGACTTTTCCAATTGTTTTTAATGAGCTGCCTCAACAAAGAAATGGTGTTTTAGAACTAACTCTTCTATAAAAAGTAAGTTATAATGCTTATACTTAAGGCCCCTGTGATTTTAAAAAATCAGTATTTAATCAACATACAAGTATTATTCTAACCAAAAAAGTACTTATCACCAAAGAATTTATTTACTTAGCTGTGATCAGTTCTAATAAGCTTTATTACAGGTAGGATGAGCAACTTGTCCTAGTTTGGGACTTTATTGGTTTCAAAACTGAAATTCCCACATCCTGAGAGCTACCTCAATCCTAAGCAACCTGGAATGGTTGGTCACCCTAGTCACAGGTCATTTAAATATTTGTTTTCATAAATAGTCATAAAATAAAATAAAGTCAAGAATAAGACTGTTAATATGATTTAGAAAATTTCAAATTCATTGCAAAGGGGGTAAAATTGATGTAATTATGCTGGTTATAAGACTATAATGTCTGCATAATGTCTGTTTAAAACAAAACCAAAAACAAGTGGTAACTTAGTATTTACAGATTATAACATAATCAAAATTGTATAAAATACTTACTTTTGTAAAAATTCTTCAGAGCCACATACATTTAGAATATGATCTTTGGGCAATAACTGGTCATTTGTACAAAAATGCAGAATTTCTGCAATTAGATCTTTGACGAGATAGTTAGCTAAAGACAAAGAGGAAAATAAAAGTCAATAAAAGTGTATCATACTGACTAAGAAAAGTTTTTGAGCACAAAATATGACCAACACAGTACAAAGGAATGTAACTGTCTAGCTTCATCAAGGGGAATTAAATTGAGATTCATCTCACTTACCAGTTTGGTTAGATTTAAAGATATTTGGGGAAAATGTTGATTGCAATTCCTTTGATCAGTTCTGTATTCATGTAATATAACAAAGCTAGGTATTGTGTTTCTCATGTTAAAGTCCTTGGTACACTGTAGTTCTATGTCAAAATCTACTGCAATTTCTCTTAGGGACTTGAGAAATACACTCAGGAACTTGAGTATAGCCAGGCAAACGTTCCAGGGGGTGCTTTATTCTTTCCATTTTTCAGCCTAAGTGAGATGTATTGCTCCTTCGTAGGGTATCAGCATAATAAAAGGATTCTGAATTAACTGGAATATTCTCAGGGCATTTATACTAGTTAATATTCATATTCATGCCATGACACTAAGACAATTCTGTGATGATTGAGATGTTCTTATCAATGTTCTGTCACTGAGACATGGAAATAATACAGACTTTTCATTTTTTAGTTGATCTATGTGAATAAGTTATTTCGCTTTTTTGACCTAGTTTCCTCATCTGTTAAATAGGGTTTGTAATAGCATGATTCATTTTCCTCAAGAATCTGGTGCGAAGCTATCATAAAAAAAAAATAGACAAATATGGTTAGTACATTTAGAACTGTTATGCAGGTTATATTCACTCTGAAATATAATGTTAGTATTAATATTAATAATAGCTATATTTTACTGAGCAATTACTCTAGTTCTTTACATGTAATTTCTTGATTATTGTACCTTTTATATAGGTATTATATCCCAAGTTTCAAAGATGAATTGACGGATTTTCAGGAAAGCTATGCAATTTTGTAGAGATTACACAGTTAGTGTTAAGTATCACACTTAAACAATATCGGTTTACTACAAGGTCTGTGCCCTTAATGACTCCAAGTCTCCACAATTGGTTGTTCTCTAGACTCTAAACAAGATCAGTCAGACTCCAAAGCCACCGTTGGTTCTTATTCCTTTCCCATGTAGTAATTACTCAAGGTTCTATCTTGAACAGCTATATTGTAGAAACTTTAATGAATATCTGCTCTCTCTCTCTCTCCACCTTTTTCTTTGGAACTCAAAATGTAGACATGCTATAGGGTAAAGTCATTTGTCTTCGCATGTTCACATACCATAATCTCCCCTTTAAAGCTCTTACATGAACATGCTATTTAATAGTGGCCAGCAACTGAAGACAACACGACCCAACCTTCGGTCTTTCCGACTGGATCGAAGTGCAGCACCATTGATCTTGGCTGAATAATCAGAATCTGGCTTTTAGGAACTGGGAGTTGGAGCCCATAGAGATACTGAACTGTCTATAGATAGCTAGCCTAGTAGCTTGGCTTCCCACTTGTTTTGTATAAGCAAAGGAAATGAGTGACCAGAGAGTGAGAGACATATGAGAAGCAATTATATGAAATGAAATAAGATGCATACAGGAATTTTGGGCTGTTTGGTTATTTGTGTTTTTCATATATTCCTAATTGTCTGCTGAAATTCATACACTTGAATTCTATAATAAATCCATATATATATATATATATATATTTTTTTTTTTTTAATGAAGTTTCGCTCTTGTTGCCCAGGCTGGAGTACAATGGTGCGATCTCGGCTCACCACAACCTCCACCTCCTGGGTTCAAGCGATTCTCCTGCCTCAGCTCCCTTAGTAGCTGGGATTACACGCATGTGCCAGCACGCCCGGCGAATTTTTTGTATTTTTAATACAGACAGGGTTTCTCCATGTTGGTCAGGCTGATCTCAAACTCCCAACCCCAGATGATCTGGCTGCCTCGCCCTCCCAAAGTGCTGGGATTACAGGCATGAACCATTGTGCCCAGCCCCTATATTCTTTAAAAACTTTTTTTTTTTTTTTTTGGTTAAGCTAGCAGGAATTGGTTTCTTTCCATTTCAAACCAAGAGGGTCTTGACTAATATACCAATATAATACTGCTATGTTTGTAGTCATCTGCATTAGCTCAGAACCTTGAATACAGTAAGAAAGAAGCACAATAATAACAGTAATTAATAAAGAAAAGAAAATATTTAATGGATCATTATGTGTCAGGAAATAGTTTCCTGTTAATATGTAGAAACTCACTTAATAGCAATCTAAATGCTTAAAGAGCTAATACTGTTTTGCAGATTAGTGAACTATAACAATGAAGTAAGATACTAAATAACTTTACAGATATTCTAAAACTTTAGAAAAGTAAAAATCCTTAGGCAAATTTGATAAAATATAAATTCCTGGGTTTCATTCCCAGAGACTGAATCAATAGGTTTGCTAATTCTGATGGAGGTATGTTACACCATGCTACTAGTTTCCTCATTATGGAAATAGAGATTCTGTGTAACAATGTCTATTCTACCTCACAATTTATTTATATTTCAAGGAAATATTTGTTCCTACTAGAAAGAAGCAGCCATTTTTACTTTAATACCATCTTTATCTAGAATCTCTTTGAAATTCATTTTTTAATATATTAAAAACCTGCTATACTTGCTATTAAGCATTTTATAGCAGGAAGACAAAATATTGTGGGGTGAGCTATGTGAAGATACTTCTTGAAGAAAATAGTTCTGCTTTCCTCCCTTAAATATTAACAAAAGGCTCCCTGATGTTTTCTTCTTATTTCGCTTCAGGGAAAAACAGTAGCTAATATTATTTTTAAATCATTTCAGACTTTGAATTCAAGGCTACATAGCCAGTACCAGCTTTGTAGAGATTTGTAGACTTATTTGCAAAGTTGCTTACCACATGGCATAAAATGAAGAGGTTGTGTTGAGTTATCAATAAAAATATGTATATTAAACTTGGTCTTAGAAAAGAGCTGATACGGAAATGCTGTAGTAGTGCTCCAGATCTTCCCAGAATTGAAATTAATGTCAGCTGCATGATATCTTTCTCTGATTCTGAAAAATACATGTTAAGAAAAATACTTAGGACAAGACCTGCAAGACACAGTTTAAAACATATTGCCCACAATATAATCATAAGAAACTTCATGTAGTGTTTTGCTATAAAAGACTTAAAGCATGAAAGAAATCAGTAATTGACTTGTGGTGCAGTGCATCTAGCTAGTCCAGATTGGCAGAGATTGCAATTATACCAAAAACAAGCGTAAAGGACTGTTCCTTAGGCTTTCCCAGGAGCATCTCATTTGAAATAATTAAGAATTCATTGTCATAACATGAAACGTGAGGATTCACTCTGAATATTATTACTTGCTTCATTTACATTGCTTTTAATGCCAGAGTTCTTCCTCTTAGATTTCTTTCATGCCTAATTTTGTCAAGCTGCAAGTCACTCGTTTTGATTTAGAAATTTTGGCAAATAAATTCTCTTGTTCTTGTCAAGTTTGTAAACACTATTCTTGTCTCTCCATTTTCTTTAAAATTTTTAGATACTACACAACTACTTGAATTTTACAGAAATATTAGAGCCTAAAAGTAATTCTTATATTCTGAACAATTACACATAAATGAGTCAAAGAATTGCAAAAACAGTTTACCCTTGGAGCCAGACGCCTTGACTTTGGATCCTGGCACTTTCATTTAGTAACGTTATGGCCAGAGGCAAGTTATTTGACAAGTTTTTTTGCACAAGTGAGTACCTTTGAGGTAGATGTTAATATCTACATCAAAGGTTTTCTATTACAATAGAAAAGACGTGTAAAAGATTTACAGATTGTAAAGCAATATACACATGTAAAGTATAATGTCGTTGTATGTTACCATAGCTTGATTCTCTGTGATCAATGTTTTATGCACACATGTAGAATATAAGATGAAGATATTTTCAAGTAGCTATTTAAAATGTTTCTGAGGGTGAATATGAAATCTTGTGTTTTTTTTTTTTTTTTTTATGTTAACTATGCTGACATCTAAACTTCATGGTTCTCTTCCTAAATTGCAGAAACTGCAGTTAATTTTGCACGAACCTAATAGCTATTTGTGGAGCACCAATGCTTTATTCTGTGGAAACATCTTCTCCATGAGGGGCCTGGCAAATGGGTAAGGAAATACACATTCATCCAATGGCCTGGCATGCCTGTGTATCCACTTGTGTTCTGGATCCCATCCCTTAGTTTCTGATTCAGTAGATCTGCAGAGAGTCTCCCAGACTTGTCCTACTAACAATATCCTAAGTAAGCTGCGGCTGTTGCTGCTCTGAAACTGCAGTTTGAGAGCCACTGCTCAGAATGAGGACATGGGCCACTCATCATTGTTATACTCTACCATTAAGGTCTAGAGTCCAGTTAGGGATTGAGGAGCCTTATGAATTGCCTTTATCACGTAATAAGACACTTCTCAATGTGTCCATGATTTCAGCTTCTACCATTTTAAGAAATTAAATTTAAAACACAAATTCATGATTCATTCTCTCCTAAACCTTTGCTGAGCATCTACCATGGGCCAGAAACTTCTTTCATATGCTATGGCATGTTATCATATTTGTTACAAGAATATGGCATTTTTTATTTGAAAGATGTGGCTTTAAAGTATGTTACAATGAGAAATCAAAGTTTTGGAGATCCTCTTTTGAAACAGCTCTCAAATTCCATTTGATCTTCTTTTGAATTAAGGGTGCTTGCCACATAGTAGGTCCTCAAACATACTTATTTTTGAGTAAATATCCTGTTGTGAACAAAATAATTATGCATGTATACATTTAATCATTTTATAAATATTTGCCAGCAAACTATTGAAAACAAAGAAAGAGTGTGTGACTATAACTTATGGCTTCTTTTCACTACTGTAAAGTTATTGTTTGGTGTATATTTTAGTTTTCATGACTATTATGAAATAAATTATTTAGAAAAATTATATTAAAGAGCTTGGAAAGTACACTATAAATCATTGGAAAATCATCACATAAGGTATTTTGATGTCACTACTGCATCCACAAAAATATTTCATCTAAGAATATGAAATTGCGTTTTAAAAAAGAGAGTTGCTGGAGGAGCTAATAATGTGGTCTGTGAGTAGAGTTGTTCACAAGAGTGATCTTAAAGTATTAAGACAGTTCTTTGCCATGCTTAGAAGGTAAAGTAAAAGTTAACTATATTTTAGACGTGAAGTAGCAAGTTTCTAGCTATGCTTATCATATTGTGACAGCGAGTAGCTTATTCCTGAAAGAATAAATATTGATAACATTAATCCGAATTTAGGAATCCTAAGTACTATTTCGAATTTTTTTCCCTTAAACTAGAGCAAGAAGTTAATTAAAGATTGAACATTTCCGTGAACTTGAGATGATTTGTTTTTGCAAATTTGAGGTGAATGTTTTGTATCTTTGTGTGTAAGCCTTTCAATCCTTCTCATGGTTATAGGTTTTATGAGGCAGGGACCTTGCTTTTTTGTTTACTTGTTTATTTTAAATATGAGTATCTCCCATGCATGAGCTAGTTATTAGACAATGAAATAGACTTTAAATTAATGACTAAATAAATGATTCAAACATTTAATTTCAAATAATCATTTGGTAGAAAGTGAAAGCTTATAAAACTGTATAGTTATATTTCAGACAACAACCAAAACTGAGTTAAAACCAAATAATTAAAATATGAATGCCTTAGTTTTTCTTCTTTTTTTTTTTTGATACGGAGTTTCCCTCTTGTCGCCCAGGCTAGAGTACAATGGCGCGATCTCAGCTCACTGCAACCTCCACCTCCCAGGTTCAAGTGATTCCCCTGCCTCAGCCTCCCGAGTAGCTGGGATTACAGTCTCCTGTCACCACACCTGGCTAATTTTTATATTTTTAGTAGAGACGAAGTTTCATTCACCATGTTGGCCAGGCTGGTCTCGAACTCCTGACTTCAAGTGATCCACCCACCTGGGCCTCCCAAAGTGCTGGGATTACAGGCAGGAGCCACCATGCCCGGCCTTTTATTTTTCTTTTTTGAGACAGGGTCTCACTCTGTCGCCCAGGCTGGCATGCAATGATGTGACAGCTCACTGCAAGCTCCACATCCTGGGTTCAAGTGGTTGTCCTGACTCAGCCTCCCAAGTATCTGGTGTTACAGGTGCACGCCACCACACCTAGCAATTTTTTTTCTTTTATATTTTGGGCAGAGACAGGGTCTCACCACTTTGGCTAGGGTGGTCTTGAACTCCTGGCCTCCAGTGATCCACCTGTCTTGGCCTCCCAAAGTTCTGGGATTACACGTGTGAGCCACCGTGCCTGGCCGAATGCATTAGTTTTTCAAAACTTTCAGAAACCTTAGCAACAGAAGAGGTAGAACTATATAAATTTTAATTGCTAATAAGAAATTGGCCTTAAAAAAGGTGTCTATGTTTATATCATAAATTCATCTTTAGATTAACAAAATACCAGTGATTTTTTTGGAATATCTGCTAGTGATCAAATTCATTTCTCAATGAATTAACATACACACATGTATTCAATATTCTGCCAATCCACTCAAGATAAGATTGAACGATGATGATTTTACATAGACTGCCCCAGGTAGGGAGGATAAATTTATGTTAATCTGGGGGTTAGCCAGAGGTGTTCGTCACTTATATCATTAAACAACAAAAAAAAAATTCATTGCAAACCAAACCACCAACAAACAAGTGCACGTCTGAATTTATAAAACATTTAACTTTAACCAAATTTTTAAGAGAAAAACATCTATTTGACTATAAACAACAAAAACATTAACAGAAGTTGATTAATGAACTAATTTGTCAAAAATTTTTGTGTGTGTGTGTGTTCTGAAATTACAGGACTTTGACTTTTATATGCTAAATTAATCAGTTCAGTGATGTCAAAATACACAAATTTATTTAGGCACAAAAATTTCAAAGTTTAATGAAATACCAATACTCACTTTTTTACTTTGTTGCAAAAAGAGGCCAGGCTCGTATTACTGCCGTGAGGTACTTCCACTAGCTGAATGGAACAACCTATTGACTTAAAATTAAAACTACTAAATTAATATAATTTGGTGAAGAGAAAATACTAAATAATTCTACAGTTTTATCCTGTTTTGAAGTTTCATTCAGATTTCATTTTTAAATTTTTTTTAGATTTTTAAAAATTGAAGTAATATTTACATATAGAAAAATGCATAGATCTTAAGTATATAATTTGAGTTTTGTAGAAGGCATAAAACTGTGCTATCAATACCCCAATGACAATATAGAACATTTCTTTCATTTTAGAAAATGTCCCCATATCTTCTTTTATATAAATCTGCATATCTATTTGGTAACTATTGTTATTCAGATTTCTATCACCATAAATAAGGTATATGTGGTATTTTATTTGCAGCCTCTATGTAATGATACACATATTTTAAAATTATTTCTGCTATCACACATATCAGTAGTTTATCATTGTTATTGCTGATTAGTAGTATTCCATTGTGTGACTGTTCCACAATTCGTTTAGTCATCTTCCTATTAATGAACCTCTGGGTTGGTTTTAGCTTTCTGGTATTGTAAAGAAAACTATTAATGCTCATATACAAGTAAATATGTGAATGCATGCTTCATTTCTTGGGAATATATACATGAATAGCTTGGGAATATATGAATGAATAACTTGGTCAGAGAGCGCATGTAGGATTAAAGAAACCATTCTTGCTTTATGCATTTTAAAACTCTGTTATTAGGTATGTACACATTTCAATTTATTATCTCTTCCTGATTGACCATTTTAGCATTACAAAATGATCCCTTTTTTCTCAGCCCTGAAATAATATTTTTGATATTAATAATCATGCAAGCATTTTTTCCTGATTGAATGTTAAGTCTTTTTGTTTCTTTTACTTTCAATCTATCTCTGCCTTTGTTTCTTGTGTCCCTCGTAGACAGTAATTGAGTCCTTCCTTTTTTTAATCTCATTTGTCAATTCCTGCCTTTTGTTTGGAATGTTTATTCTATTTACATTTTGTAATTTATGGAAATTGTTAGATTTAAGACTGTCTTACTTATATTTGTTTCTAATTGTCTTTTCTATTTTATTCTGTTCTTCTATTTCTCCTGACATGTTTATTTTATTTTATTCTTCTGCTGCATTTTTAGATTTTCTTCTTTTTTTTTTTTTTATAATTCATGGTACTAGCTCTAGGAATTACAATATACACTCTTAACATATATCAGTTTACTTGGAGTTACTACTGTAACCATTGCATTTAACATGTATGAATTTACATAGCAAAATAACATTTAACCCCCTTCCACCCATTATGTTATTATTGTCGAATAGTTTTTTATTCACATACACAATAAATCCTACAATAGCATGCTACTGTATTGCTTTAGTACATTGCCTTTCAAAAAATTTAAAGTAGTCATTTGTATTATTCAACTACTATTTCTATCATTCTTCACTCTTTCTTAGATTCCATCTGGTGTCATTTTCCTTGTACCGGAAGTATTTAATTTGGCATTCTCATGTGTCTGCTAGCTGACTAATTTCTTTCAACATTTGTTTATGGTAATGTCTTTATTTTGTTTTTGGATTTGAAACTTATACTCAGTGGATATTTAGTATGTTTTATTTTCTTTCAAAGATTTAAAAATGTCATTCTATTGTCTCTGGCTTCCATTGTTTCGAGTGAGAAGTTTCCTTTTATTCACATTGTTGTCCCACTGTGTAAAATCTTTTCTTCCCTTTTTGCCCCCTTCCATAATTTTCTCTTTTAATTTTTAGATGTTTGAGTATAAAATGTCTATATGTGGCTGTCTTTGCATTTATTCTATTTGGGTTGTGGTGAGCTTCTTAGATCTGTAATTTGATATTTTCTATCAAATTTGAATAATTTCCTGACCATTATTTCTTCAAATTAATTTTGCTCCCTATTTTTCTTTCCTCTTGTTAGCATTCCAGTTGTCCACATATTATGCTTCTTGTCTCATAAGTCTCTGAATCCCTGCTCATATTTATATGATCTCTGTGTTTTCTCTACTTCAGTTTGGATAATTTCTGCTGTTTTGCTTTCAAATTATTATTTTTCACCTGTTCTTTCCTATCTGTTGTTAAGCACATCGAGTAACTTTTTTATTGCATGTATTTTGTTTCCAGCACTGGACTTGGCCTTTGTTTTTGTGTGTTTGTTTCTTGATGTTTCTAATTTCCTGCTGAGCTCATCATTGGGCTAGCCATTATGAACATCTTTATCTACTTGAACATACTTTTAATAACCAATTTAAAGTCCCCATCTGTTAATTCCAACATCTGGATTATCTCAGAGGCTCTTTTGACTGATAGAATTATTTTCTTGAGCGAGAGCCAAAATTCCCTGCTTCTTTACATATCTATGCATTTTTTATTTTATGTTGAATATTGTAGATGACTCATGATGAATCATCATTAATTTTTTTTTCATTGGCAGGCAGTTAAAATCCTTCTTGTCTTGTTTGCCTTATTACTCTGATTTTTGGTTGTTGTTAGGCCACATCTATTTTGGTTAATGTAGCATTCATTTTAGAGCATGAGTTTTACTCTTAAGACATGACTTTGTAGCTTCATTTGAATGCCTGAAGTGCTCATATCAGTCTCTTCTCTAATTTGGCCCAAATTTCTGCCTTGTAATTTCAAGTCTGTGTAATTAACACAATCCCATCCAATTCTCAGTCAAAAGCTGACATTATCTACTAAGCCTTGCAAGCATATCCTAATATTGGCCAAGCAGTAAGTCCTCTCTATACTTCTGACCCATACCCATTTCATAGCTACCTCTTCTGTAGCACTCTGCTTGTCAAATCATAGCTGCTTCTGCAACTTGGAACTGCAGGCTCTGCCTTCACAGTCAGTGATAGTGCTGCTCAGACTGGGCTCCACCAGCCTGCACAGCAGCATGAAATTGCCCTCAGGCACAGACTGAGATGATCACAGGGCTCACTTTTCTCAAGGATTTATGTTCTGTACTGCCTATTCAACACCTTCAATCAACTGCTTCATTTATTTCGTCTAACTGTATAGTTGTTTTTAGGAGTAGGGAAAGTTTAGTAGTTGTTACACTATTGTGATCAGAACTAAACAGCCCTAAGATTTACTGAATTTTAATTTAGATATTTTGAGGTGCTACCTCTTTTGCAAGTGAATTCGAATGAAATAGAATTAGATGTTTCTTTTCCTATGCACTTACTCCACCTGTTATTTTACTATGTTGCCATTATTTGTTTGCAAGTTAACATGAGCAATATGCTATTCCTGAATTCAGGCATCATATCTTTTCTTCTTTGCATTACTCTGGATAGCATATCACAATATATTTTAAGGATTTTTAAAATAGTTGTTGTATTAAATAAAGAACCCGTCTGCCTCACCCAGGAAACTACAGCTGCAATAATGTTTCTCCTTTTTTAAATCAGAAATAAATATTACTTACTTCTGATTTTACTTGTGTCTAGACTCAAGCAGAGAAACAGAGAAGTCTTCAAATACAGAAAAAAGCTCTGGTTACTAAAATGATTGGAAAGTTAGTAATAAAAGCATTAAGATGAGTCACACAATGAATACTTAATTTCCTACCTTTGGAATGATCTCGATAGAAGTTGCCTGCTAATCATATAAATTAGGAGACTCTGAGTAAAGGGGCATTTTTTCCTACCAATAATGATATAAAGTTCCAAATCATTACAATGTGACTTAAAATATAAATGTAATGAAACGTATTTGTATTTGTGTATGTGCATTAAACAAAAAATAGAAAATATTATCAGTTAAACCTTCAACTCTGCTATTTTTATCAATGAAATGAAAGTACCATAATGAAAACCAAATAAAATTTTATAATAGTTTTGATGAAACTGGAACTGGAACCTTATAGATGATATTTTTAAAAATTTATTTCCCCTTTTCTCAGAAAAAAATCTTTAATACAAGAACACATCATTTCTGAAAATATTTTTTTCAAAAGTAATATGAATAGGTTTCCCTATTTAAGGTTAGTTACCTTCATTACCAAATTAACACAATACATTATTGAATGATTCTTTCAGATTCATATTTTTAGATTGACATGTATTACACATACCTCTATGTTCTTCTGCCATGTACTTTCCCCCATCCCGGGTTGAAGAGAGCCTTTCAAAAGCATCAAAGAGGGTTCCACAATGTTCACATGTCCGCTCCTTTTATTCTCTTCTTTGGGCATGAAGTCAGTTGAGAAGGACGAATTTGTAGGAGGAATGCTGCTTTCAAATCCTATAGGGTAGTTACGGTTTTCATTTTCTAATTCTTTCTGTAGATTAATTTTATCCAAACTTGTGAATGATGGAGCTAAAATATTGAATCTGGAATCCTCAGCACCATGATGTTTTCCTCTGGGGCTTCCCCAGGGGCATTCTTTATTCATATTTTGAGGTTTTGGTAACACAGAAGGACTAAAACCAATTGCTGGTGCTTTTCTAACTTGATGCCAGGAGAGTTCACGGCTTTTAGAAGTGAATTCATTCAAGGATATTTGGTGTGCTTCGTTTAATGAATGCCCTTTTGAGTCCCATTTTGGTGCAATAGGCACAAAAAAGGTGTCTTTATCAATTTCACTCTCGTAGTGTGGAATTTTGCCACTGATCTCATCTACTATCTGATCAAAACCCAGACTGACTTGCCTAGAAGAATGGGGTTGATTTACAAAGAGAAATTCTTGGTGTTCATACTGCTTTTCATGTGATTCATTGGGATTTGGATCTGTTTGCCAAGAATATGCCATTTTTTATTTTATGTAACTGAGAGGGTTGACTCTGCTCCAAATATCTCCTTGATAATACAAAAGAAGATAGAAATTTTCCTAGAAAAAGCATAAAATGAAAGAAAAAGTATTTAATTTGAAAGAAAAGAGCTTGTAAGACAGATATAGGATAAATAACTATAAACAAGTGTTTTGTGGGCTTTTTTTTTAGCAAGTGAAATAATTCCTTAAGTACTATAAAACTCTATCTGGTCTTACAACATTATGAGTCTGAAAGGAAAGTATTGACTGGGTAGACTGATAAAACTCCTGTGATAGAAAAATAAGTTCACCTCAATTATAATGAAAGTTTCATGAACCTATTCAAAGTCAATATTCCCCTTTTTCTATTAAACATCCACTTATCATTTGAGTACAGAGGGAAATCTATAAGCATGTTGGCATGCTAAAGTCTCTTTCTTATTAGCTAAACAGTCTCTTCTTGACCAGCAATTACCCTGTCCATAGACATAGTTTTAACTCTTTTCTATCCACCACAACAAATCACCTTAATATGGTTAGCTAGACATTTTCCTTTTCCCCAAAAAACTCTAAATAATTGCAAAGCCTTTTATACTTCCCTAAAACTACTAACATTAAGTTCATCAATTGACTTTATGTTAGTAAATTCAAAAGACAGTTTTCAGTCCTTTTTGAATTTATCTCTTCACAGGATTTGATACCATTCACCATACTTGTAATTTCTTGCTTTCTTACTTTGGCTTTTCATGACACTGAACTTTCTGAATCTTTCCATGTTTTTTTGGTTTTTTTTTTTTTTCCTATTATGCATTTTCCATCATATCTTTGTCAGAGCTTTTTTTCTTCCCTATTATTCTTTTATTGTAAATTATTTCATACCTCCTGTGGTTTAAATTACTATCCTATCCATTTGTCAATGACTTTAACCTTGGCCACTCTTCTTATTACTTAATCAATAGCTCCATTTGGATATCTTTTAAGTCTCCAAATGAAAGTCCAAAACTAATCATAATTCACCCAAGAATCTGCTCTTATTACAGTGTTCTATGGGGCAACAAAATGACACAATTATTCACGCAGTTGCTCAAACCAGAAACCAGAGTTTCACCTTTGAATCCTTCCTCATCTTTCTTCTTCTATATTCAATAATCCACCAGTCCTTGTAGGGTGTACTACAGAAATACATCTTGAATCTGTCTTCCCCTCTCTATCACTACCATAGTCCTCATTTAAAGCTTTCATATTTTCACTTGAAATATTGTATTGACTCTGGGACTCCTTTTCCATTTTCTGCAATTCATTTTTTGCCCTATACAGTAATCCAATTATGTATATTTTATTTAAGACATTAACCAAATATCGCCACTGGTTATAGTTTTTCAGTGGTTCCTTATTATCTCAGGATAACGTTTATTAATTCCTCAGTTGACTTGGAAGTTCCTTAATGATACGTGACACTGCACACTGTCTAGGTTCCCCTTATGCTACTCAGTTTCATTCTCTCCTTTTCATCATCCTGGCCTTCTGGCTCCTCAAAAGGACTTCATTTTTGATAACTGACATTTTCCAGGGTGTTATCCTGGACACTCATCCTACTTCTTGCCTTGCTAATTCTTTTTCATTATTTAGGATTTAATTGAAATATTAGTTCTTCAAAGAAACCTTCTGAATGCCCTGGGAAGGTAAAACTACTGTATATTTTCTACAGTTTACACTTCTCATTGGGACTAATAATTACACCTGTAATTACATATGTACCATTTCACCTTTCCATTAGATCAGCAGACCACATTTGTTATTGGTTTTTCTTACTTACAACTCAGTGCCTCATCTATTGCTTCACTCAGAGTAGATGCTCTTTTGTTGACCATATTATTTAACAAATTTTTTAAAACCACAGTTAAGTTAGGAAAAAAATGAAATTGTGCAGTATTTGCTTCACTTTGATGGATTTATTAATTCTCTTGACAATTATGTGTGCATGTGGTAAAGACAAAAACAATTTTAAAGGATAATTCTGGTAATGATTATCAAACATTTCTCTATCAATCTTTTTTGCAATGCAATTTGATTTTTATTATATTGGCATTTAAATTTTTTTGAAAATCATAATCACCTAAGGAATAAATGAATTAGATTTATTATACTTTATATATTCAGTAAAGTAATTGAACTAACTGATAAATTTGGGAAAGATTTTCAAGAGATGTATGTAAATGGTGTATATAATAAAGTGTTAACCAGAAAATGAATCTCAAAATATTATTTAAAGCTATTATAAGAATTCATGAGTCACATAGCTATATCATTATCTACCTGAAACGCCCTTTTCAGGAATGGCAATTTTTCTCTTGATGTTTCTAGTATAAGCTATGTTTCATTGGAGCAAATTGTACTCCTTTAACCATCTGTCATGGAACTCAGAATTTGTCAGCAGATGTGACTTTAATTTTGACAACAACACTTAATATTCTGTTCCGCTCTTTCTTAGCTTGACTTGCTCCTTGTAGTTTATTATGGTAAATGTAGCTACATTAAAATGACTTCTACAATTTTTGATGTTTTCAAAACCTTGAGTTTTTTTAATTTTATGGAGTCACAGGAAGGTCTTTAAATAAGGTATCAGTGATCTGATGCAGCAATTAAAGATTCCTTTAGGCTGGACCATCTTGTTATTGTTAAAGATACCTAACAGTTTTTGAGCACCTACTCTGTGCTAATGCTTTATATATGTAGATATTTATATGTTTTAACATGTTTATTTCTCACTTCAATCTGTCAGATATATAATATTATTACTACCACTGAGCAAATAAACGGAGGAACAAAAAAGTGTATTAACTTATCTAAGATTTGAGTTTATGTTTACAGATTTATTATAAACAAGGATTAAAGGAGGCACATGAGTGAACCTGACATACTAGTATAACATGTAGAGCATGCCTGGATTTTGGCCCTGAAACAGAGTATTCACTCAATTCAACTATCTCCACTAAAAAGGGTTAAAAACTTTTTAATTTTTATTAATAACAACATTTTTTTTCAAGTACGTCTCACAGCAAGCTTGAAATGGGTTAGAAGCCTGTCTGAAAAAATTTCATTATCATGAGATAAAGGAGAATGAGAAATATCTTTTCATATTGAAAATGTAATAAAAACACAACCTCTTCGAGATCCATTTCCTAATATTAAATTTGGTTGTTTTAAGAAATTTCTAATAATTTTCAATCTTTTTTTTACCATCATATTCTAGAAGCTACAATATTTCTTAGTTTATAAACCAACAAACAAAAATGTTATTTAGTTCTAGCCAATAAATGTTTGCATTTTGCATTATGAAGTAATGTATAAAATAATTAAAAGTCATACACTTTGACTTTGAAACAGACTATACATGTAGTTTAAGAGGAATTGTGACATATTTGAGAAGGCATGTCTAAGAGTCCCTGATTTAAGTAAGTCTGCAGAACGACAGAAAATGTATTTCATAGACAAAACTGTGTCCCCTCAAATATTCTCATGTTTTGATCCCTGGAACCTGTGACCACGGTAAGTTACCTGGCAAAGAGGATTTAAGAATGCAGATGAAATTAAGTTTCCTAATTAGCTGACCTTAAAATGGAAAGATTATCTGATTGGACCCAGTGTAATCACAAAGATCCTTAAAATGGGAGAAGGAGAGAAGAGATCAGATTGCTGTGATATGAGGATTGAATCCACTTTGCTGGCTTTTAAGATGAAGAAAGGGGCCACATGGCTAGAAATATAAGACGTCTCTAGAAGCTGGAATGGTCAAGGGATCTCTCCCTTGGAGCCTTCAGGAAGGAATACAGCCCTGATGAAATCTTGATCTTAGCACAATGGGACCCATGTTGGACTTCTGACTTACAGAACCGAAACGTAATAAATGGGTTGCTTTAAGCCACAAAGTTTGTGATAATTTGTTACAGCAGCAATAGAAAAGAAGTATATAAACTGAAAGGTATTTCCTAAATTAACTGGAAAATCAGAGACTAGAATAAGTATAGAAGACCACACAAAAAAACAGATCTCTGTTATTGGTTGTAAAGTTCAGCTCAATTCAAACAGTGATATTTGAAAGGTGGTATTATTAATGACAACTCCTTAGTGTACTACAATTGCTTATAACCTTGTATTCAGTTCAACTTGCAAGAGGTCAGTTTCTGTTGAGGATTACTTACTTATCTGGCTTCAAAGAGAAAGTACAGACAAAAATTCGGCACCTATCAAGAAAAGGACAGCCTCTGCCAGCTGCTTCTATTTTTTAAATCTACAAAGGTGTAAATATCATTCAAACAACTCCAATGTTCAGAATAGGAACAAAAATGTTTATTTTACAAAAGAACAACAAAAAAGGAACCTTTCTGAGAATGTTTGTTCTTGATCCAAAAAGTCCTGCCCATATTACTAAGAATATCTACAGGAGGAAGATGAGAGAAGTATAGAAGAAATAAATTATGGGATTAAATAAAAATGATCTTTATTTCAGATAACAAATTTTAGGAATATAAAATTTACCAGTGTTTTAATTTATATAAATATCATGGGAGATAGAGATTGTGCCAAGACAGGATGTGTCAATGTTTAATGAGCTAAACCACCTGTATTTTTAGTGAGGTGGAAGGGAAGTCTGTAACTATGGCTGCTGACCTGGTTACTGAGAAGGCTCTGAGCTGGAAGGATATTCTGAAATTCCCAAGTTTCTCTTCAACTGCTCAACCAATTCCCAAGTATCTCCTCACTTGCCGAACCAAGTGTATGTATTACACAGACACACACACAGAAAATAATATTTTAGCAAGACATAAATCTGACCTTTCTCAGTTCAATTTGGTGTATAGAGAAGACAATAACCAGATAGATAGATAGATAGATAGATAGATAGATAGATAGATAGATAGATAGATTTATCTTTTATTATTTACATTATCTCACCTTTTTCATTTCTAATTTGGAATTGAGTGATAAGGTAAACATTTTATTATTTATGTAAGCTCTGATACTATTATTATTTAAGTGAAGACAAGAGTTGCTTGAGGAAAACTAATCTTTACAAT